TTATTATTATTATTATTATTGTATTGTTATTATTATATGACGATCATCATTGTCATCCTAATTATAAACCTTAAATTAAACCACATGCGACAATAAGCACGAACATAAACGTCCAAACTTTGCTCCCGTTCCACAGGTCGGCGGGTTGCGGAGAGAGAAACATCCAGGAGGACACACACAGTAAACCAGCTCACACTCACACCCACAGACACGGGGAGCCGGGCCCCAGAGCTCACCGCGCTGCCTGGAAGCCCGAGGCGCTGTCAGACTTCCTGGGTGTCCCCTACCAGGACACAGCGACATCCGCGAGGTGCGCCCAGGAGAGAGAGACGACGGACTGGAGGCATCAACGCACCGAGCACGCCGGGGTCAGGAGGTACCAGCAGCAGCAGCGAGATGGGAATAAAGGGAGGTCGGCGTACCACAGCACGAAGATGGGGCTGTCTTCATTGGAGGACGACACACGGGCTCAGGAGTCGGAGACCACGTTTACGTCTGTGAATCAGGATCTGCACCATCCTCCTCCTCCTCATCCTCATTATCATTCTCATAGTCATCGGGTAGAGTCAGAAGTTGGCCGTTTTGACAGAACATCACCCAATAGTGGAGCGTTTGAACGTGCTAACCTTTCTGTGCTGGTAGGTAATGGCGGTCCTTACAGGTCGCATCAGTACCATCGATCGTACTCCACACCAGGAGGTCTCGATCTGCATGAGAAGCGTGTGCCAGTAGATAGACAGATCGAAGCAGATCCAGCCTCACGATGTTCTAGCGAGCTGCACGAATCGACGTCTGCAAATGCTTACGCAACCATAGCAGAGCTAGAGCGGCGTTCGTCTGCCCGGGTTGAAGCAGCGCTGGATGACGTTAGCAGCAATAACGCCAAAGATGGGAGTCCCATAGTGATCATTCTCTGCGACAAGAACTCGCTCCCACCCCATGTAGACGCGGCCCAGGTGAGATCAATGATTCAATGTTCGGATGTTGAGCCGAGTGTGAGGTATATGGACAACTCTGTCAAGACGAGTCAAGTCGACGAAAGCTCAAATTTGGTGCAGTTGTTGTTATCATCGTCACAGCCCGTAAACAGAGCTCCACGCAATGAAACTTCTACCTCTGACCAGCAAATGTTGAAATTACCGGTGGGAAGTGGCTCGAAAGAACTCGCTAAAACAGCAAACGTGCCTCAAAGGAAGGGTGATGGTGTCGCTGAGAACAACACTAGTAAACCACAAGACAAAGGCTTGTCGAAATACGCAAAACAGCCAAACTCGCTGAGTGGGAATACTGACCAACACGATGTTGCAGCGGTCACTCCGAAGGGAGACAGAAGATCTTTGTCCAACAACAAATCTCTCAGCAATAAAGGCAACACTAACCAAACGCCGAGCTATATGTTTCCCCTAGTGGCTAAATCAAGTAGGAACATATTAGAGAACCCAGAACCTAGAACACAGACAGAACGACAAAGGAGCGAGGATCACATGACTCAGGGGCAGCCATTATTAAATCATGACTCAGCACAGAAGGCTATGAACTTAGCACAGAGAGAAATAGGCACGAATAGCAGCAGCGTACGAGCCCGTGAGTATAGCAGTGAAAACTCTCCAAGAGAAGACAGGCGCAGAGAAAGAGACACGCCAGTACGTAATACTCACTCCAGTCGGCAAAAACCTCGCAGCACTGAAAACTCTCCCGGTCAAGAGATGCGGAGGCCATATTTCAATCTGAATCCCGCAGCTGAGAGCAACTTCCACGTCCACAACTCGAGGCACAGAACGCCACAATCAATCCCCAACATCGTGCTTCCTCACAGTACAACAGACGGCAACGACACATTCCTGAGCTTTGGCGACATTTCCGCTGTGTCGTCCCCATCTCCTTCCCCGAGGCTGGTGCGAGTGGCGAGGGCCAACAACCCATTCCTGATAGAGGCCGAGCCGGCGAGGTTCACAGCTGAGAAAACACGACGTCGCAGTGCGCCGGCCATGAGGGACGAGAGAAGCCCTCTGGGGAGTCCGAGACTTGGGAAACCGCCGTTTGACAGGTCCACGTCAGGAGGTGATGTTATTGGACACGATCGGGACTACCACAGGCTGCTCGTGGCCTCCCTAGGCAAGTATTTGACGAGGTCGTTGTCCTACGAGCCGAGAGATCATGTTCTGAATCTACCACAGGGAACGGCGCATCGCTTAGAGCGCTCTCTAAGGCAAGCCGCAGATTCTTCAGATCCTGAACAAGAGCTTCACCAGGATGAAAGCGCATTAAGGGCAACAAAGACGCTTGGATCGGTTCGTGAAGACATGAGGCAAGCTGCGACGACAAACATCGCTCTTCCAGAAAGCAAGACGTCCACACCCACTAGCATCAGCAACAATAACAACAAAAACAACAACAACAACACGCCTTATGGTGCTGATCATCATCCTTCGATATCCCGAACACCCACGATTCCAAGAATAGTTTTACCTGCAGAAGAAGAAGAGGAGGAGGAGGAGGACAGTGAGGAAATTGACGACAGATCCGACACAGTGTCGGCGTTATCGTCCCAGTCTCCCTCCCCACGACTGAGGCGAGTGGCCAGAGCAAACAACCCATTTCTGATCGAGGCGGATCCAGTGAGGTTCAAACCCGAGAAGACCCGCCGCAGCAGCGCGCCCGCCATGAGGGCCGAGAGGAGTCCTTTCGGGAGTCCGGTGATGAGAGGCAAACAGCTGATGTCAAGGTCAACGTCGGGGGGTACGATCGGCCACTCTCGTGACGACAACAGGCTGCTGTCTGGAACTCTGGACAGACATTTGTCGAGGTCGTGGTCCTCGGAGTTTTACGACTATCTTCTGACGGCCAGGGACGTTGGTCGAGAGATCGACAACGACTCCCTGAACAAGATCATCAACGACCGTTACAACGCTCTCTTCAGCGGGAGGTTCGCTGACCTGTCGGCTGAGCTGGCCATGGAGCGACATAGTTCCCCGGTCAACTTATCGCCCAGGCTGGTCAAGCGAAGAGACGCGCACAAGACGTCCAGAAAACTGTCGCCGGACCTTGGGTCGAGTAGCCAGTCATCGTCGTCATCGAGAGCTAGTCCGGCTGACAGTAGAGAGGTGGAGGATACACACGTAGACACGTCCAAGATAGCCAACAGTAACACACACGTAGAACCGTCCAAGATAGCCAACAGTAACACACACGTAGAGACGCCCAAGATAGCCAACAGTAACACACATATAGAACGAGAACAACCCACATCAGCCAACAGCACCACAAATGTAGAACCATCAACAACAGCGAACAGCAACACTAACGTAGAACAGTCCACGACAGCTAACAGCAAAAGTGGACAACCCTCCCAAACGACACACGAGTCAACTGATAGCAAAGCTGACGATGAAACTGAACGCGACGTGTCTCCAACTGAAAGCATTTCCAGGGCTAGACAGAAATTGCGAGAAGACAGAGATAACGGTGGAAAACCCAAAACAAACGATTCCAGTCGAACCAGACATGTTGACAACAACAAAACGATTGGCCAGTCAAAAACTGAGGAGACTGGTGCCCAGGTACATTCTACGCTGACGGGGAAATCACAGCGCCAGGATCTCACCAGCGGCCTAGATGGATTAGACGTTTCGCAAAACGGCGGTCGGATCCGATCAAAGAGTGGGCGCCGGGAAGGGACGTATGAACTACCCACACAGCTACACGCGAATCCTTCCGCCAAAGCGTACGGGGACTTCCTCAAAGTCCCTTCCTTACGTCTGGACATACGTAAAGCGTACATCCCACCCAAACATCCTACTAGTGCGTCGAATACCTCAAAACAAACCGGAAAATTGGAACAGCAGAGCGATATCAAAGAGTCTTCTGAACCGTCTGTGAGTGGGATGGAGTCTGTTCTACAACGTTTGCACGTAGACAGCACTAAGAAATTACAGGAGAACAAAAATAGCTCTCCTCTCCGAGCCAAACAGACGTCATCTCTCCCGGCTCGCCCACCCCTCCCATCTCTCCCCCCTCTCTCGCCTCTCCCACCAAGTCTTGCCCTTTCCAACTCCCCAGTTGTCAAAGACAAATATGGTTCTTCTGATTACGCACCCGGAAGTTTATCAGGGGCTACTGGTGGACGTTCCTCAGAGGGTAACACGAGGGGTGACGCAGTGGGTAACAGAGAGGGTGACAGAGAGTGTGACACGAGGGGTGACGTAAAGGATAACACAGTAGGTGATAGAGAGGGTGACACGAGGGCTGACGCAGAGAGTGATAGAGAGGGTAACAGAGAGGGTGATAGAGAGGGTGACGCAGAGGGTAACAGAGAGGGTGATAGAGAGGGTGACACGAGGGGTGACACAGTGGGTAAGAGAGAGGGTAACACGAGAGGTGACGCAAAGGGTGACAGAGTAGGTGATAGAGAAGGTTATACAGTGAGTGACACAGTGGGTGACAGAGAGGGTGATACAGTGAGTGACACAGAGGGTGATACAGTGAGTGACACAGAGGGTGGTACAGTGAGTGTCAGAGAAGGTGACAGAGAGGGTAACACAGATGGTAGCACGAGGGGTGACGCAAAAGGTGACGCAAAGGGTGACAGAGAGGGTAACACAGAGGGTAACCTCAATAAACGAAAGGTTGACGACAAGTCGGCTCACTCCTCGCTGCTGGTGAAAAGTGGAACTGATTCAAACGGCCTCAAGATGAAACCAGGAAAACTACGAGCTAATCACTTATACATACCCAAGGTTGTTGACTCCCAATCCGCACTCAAAATAACGTTTAATAAATTGAACCCATCTGCTTTCCTGTCCACGTCAGCGGGGCGTGAAATGAAAAAAGCTTATGAAAGTAAACCTACTGCTGAAGCGGTAGGTCATAAGTTTAGAACGCCAAATTTAAAACCTCCTGCTGGCGAAGAAAAACAGCTCATTCCAACCATACGATCAGAAAACCACATAGGAACCGAGGAAAACTCTCCTACTGAGACCCTGGTTACCTGGCCACAGAGCAGCAGTACATCGGCTGTAACAAAAGAAAATCATTATGGAGAACAAATGAGACTAGACCACAGAAATAATTCACATTCTGGGGAATCAGGAGCACTTTCGTCTCACCGAAAAGATCCAGAGACAGTCGCTTTCACGAGAGATAAGCGCGGCATTGAGATGTTCCCACCCCCGTCAATCGACAAGGCTCTGGACTCGGAGAACTTGCTACACATAAACGACAAATTTGAGAGCATGCCACCAAGAAACGACAAATCTAAGAACAAGCTGCCAAGAAACGACAAATCTGAGGACATGCCACACATAAACGACAAATCTGAGAAAAGGTTACATAAAAGCAACAAATCTGAGCAACAGAGAAACGACAAATCTGAGAACATGCTACGTAGAAACCTACATAGAAACGACAAATCTGAGAGCATGCCACCAAGAAACGACAAATCTGAAAACATGCTACACAGAAACGACAAATCTGAGAGCATGCCACCAAGAAACGACAAAGCTGAGAACATGCTACACAGAAACGACAAATCTGAGAACATGCTACACAGAAACGACAAATCTGAAAACATGCTACACAGAAACGACAAATCTGAAAACATGCTACACAGAAACGACAAATCTGAAAACATGCTACACAGAAACGACAAATCTGAAAACATGCTATACAGAAGCAGCAACAGCTCAAGGGGAGAGAAACAGAATCTTCCTCGGCACTTCCAATCTAGCTCTAATGGAGAAAGCGAAAAGCAAAAAGACGAAAGTGAGAACGGCCCCCGGAACACAACATCTGCCTTTAGGCCTCAACTGACGAAACAAAACAGCGGAAACTTTCAAGTGTCTGATGTCTGATAAAAATTATGATATTATAGTGTTATAATTATCATCAATAGCATTATTATCATTTTTTTTTCATCATTATTATTATTTTTATCATTATTATTGTTGTTGTTGTACTTGTTGTTATTATTATTATTATTATTATTATTATTATTATTATTATTATTATATTATATTATATTATATTATATTATATTATATTATATTATATTATAAGAGCAATAACAGAAACAATAACAATAACAATAATGATATTGATAACAATAATAACAACGATAACAATAACATTAACAATAATAATAATACTAAAAATGATAATAATAATAAGTTTGTCCGGCAGTGTCTGCCAATGACCAGTACATCCGCAGAGGAGAATATTTCTCGAGCGACACAGAAGAATAGCGGTGTGTTCCAATTGTGGTGAGCCTCTTTCTCATTCCAAACTCTTCAATTAATTAATAGGTTAACTCACGTCAAATTTCTCAAAACAATAGTGCGGTCAAAAATTCGTGGCGCAGCTTATACTCAAACTAGCTGGGCCCCCTTTCGATGGCTCGCAACCGTAAGGTCGTGGGTTCGAATCCCGTCAGGGGCCCGACGTTGTGTCCTTGGGAAAGGCACTTTACACGAATTTT